GGATGGATGGATGGATGGATGAATACGGCTGAGCCCTTTGGATCGGGCGGTAGCTTACGCCACCTAGCCATTTTGTTTTACCATTTAAGCTTAGAATATTTAAATGTGAAATCTATATTCACTCCGCAGTGCAAAGAAAGTGAGGCTATGAAACCCCCTTGCCATCAGTGAATAAGAAAATACCTAGTTTTCTCTCGATTTCTGCCACCATTCACTTAATCTTTGCTTGGTAATCTCTACAGTCTTGAAATCCACTCTCCCTTCGCTGTCTCTAAAACCCAATGACTTTATTAAATCTATGTTGTCTTCGGTAGGCATAGGGTGAAGCCCTTTGCAGTAGAGTATCAAGTGCTCAGCCGTCTCGTCCTCCTCTCCACAAGCAATGCACACTGTATCCATTTCCTGGTACTTCACTCTGTATGTTCTGGTTCGCAGAACACCCGTTCTTGCCTCAAACAGCAATGAGCTTCCCCTAGAATTGTCATAAATGCTTTCTTTGGCAATAACTCTTTTGTTTAATCTATAGCTTTCCAGAGCAGTCTTTGTCTGCATTCCCTCTAGCCACCGATCCCTTTCTGTGGCCTTAACTTTCTTCTTAACACAGACTTGCTCTTCCGTATCTTCGCTAAAGCCCAAAAACTTTCCTCTTAATTTCCTAGTGCGCTGTCTCCACTTTGTGTCTACACTCCTCATGTATAAATAGCTGAAAACCTTTCGTGCCCATTGCTCCCCATCCATTAGCCTCAACCTATCCTCAAATTCTACCTTGCTCACCGCTTCCCTGCTCTCAAATGATGCCCATCCCATGTCTCCTTGTACTCCCTGGTTTGGCGTTTTGCAATGCGCCCCCAAAGCCAGTCTACCTACTCCGCGCTGTTTTATTTCTAGTTTCGCATGCACTTCGGATTTCATGCATAGCACTGCGTTTCCAAATGTCAAGCCAGGCACCATGACCCCTTTCCAAATCTCTCTCACCACCTCATACCTGTTGTAATTCCAAAGTGCTCTATTTTTCAAGTTATACGCACGAGTTATACGCATTTTTCAAGTTATACGCCGGCTGTGATCATTGTGGCGACGCCTGGTGGCAGCTCCGAGAAGCTGACTATCAGACGGCACGGAACAAGGGGTTCGCAACTGCTTCGGGATTCCATTTCTGTCGTTTGTATGATGATCTCGAAAGGAAGCCAAGAAGGTTCGGCTGCCTTCTTCGTTGTGTGGAGAAAAACAAATAAAAAAATCGCAGAGCACGAAAAAAAAAAAAGAAAAAAAAAAGAAGAAAGTAGTAGAGAAGGATAAAGGGACAGTTGTCGGTCTGGGCCACTGATCTCTATTAGCATCTTCGATCAACTCGCACCGGAATCGCCCTGAAACCAGCACAGTGCACAGCGCTCCTCGGTCGTGCAGCGCGATGTTGGTGCAACATCGAGGACAAACTGCGCCGCGCCGGTGCACCGCGGCGAGCTCCACCTTGCGTCACTTCACGTTTTGTTCGTTTTTTCTTGCGCAGGTCAGCGCACGGTGCCCGTCTGCTGTCAATTCCTTCTACTCTTTTACTCGCGGATTTGACGGTCCCACAGAAATAAACATCGTGGACGTGATTGCCGATGGGGTAAAGAAGCGGGTGACAATTCCACATGTATATGTTGGCCATCATTATTGGGTCAAGAAAACGAAACACCAGATAATAGCCGTACCTCGCTGTCATCGAAACGCCTCGCGCCGCTTTCCACGAAGTTCGTGCTTTCCGGGCGCTCCTTGCCACCGCAGCAATCGCCAGTAATCGCGGCGATGGCGAGGAGCTCGTCGTCTCACCGTCAGAAGACCCGAGGAAATCATCTAGTGCAGCTGCGAGGCGTGTTCGTTTCTGCAAGATCGCCATCTCGATAGTCTGCGCGTCTGCTACTCCCGCCATCTTCTCGATTCCCGCTCCTGGCCGCAATGCCTGATGGGACTGCCCCCCGGCGCACCGCCGATTTTCTTGGTGCGCGTTGGGGCAACGAAAAGCCGCACCGGGAGGGTGCGCTTCGTTGATCGAGGACGTACGGTGCGCACCGGTGCACTTGATCGAAGATGAAGGGGCGCACCTCAGTGCCCCGGTGCGCACCGGTGCGGATGATCGAGGATGCTATAAGACAATTGCTGGATCGCGTTTGCCCGCTCCGCGAATACGAGCGTTTCGCCGCAGTAAGGTTGCAACGCCTATTGGCTGAGAGAAAAAGCAAAAACAAGCAAAACAGCACAAACAGGAAGTGACGAAAATGTTTGTTTTGTTTGTTTTTGCTTCTTCGAATTTTACTTTTTGTTTTTACTTTTCGTTCCTCCAAGTGTTTGTTGGGCGCTTTTCGGAGCGGTCGCGTTGGTTCCATATCAGTGGTTCCAGCGGTCTTTCTTGTATTATACATTGTCGTGTTATGTGCCGCGGTATTGCCGAGTGGAGTTGGTCGTGATATTCAATGCTTGGGAACGAGCGTCGGCAGTGAAGTCCACAGCGCATTCAGCGCATTCATGCAAGCCAGTAACAGGCCCCGTCTCGCCACATGGAGGCCCGTGGGACGCTTGTTCGGGAAGTAAAAGGTGAGTGGAATTTACCTACTGGTGGCGTTCGATCGTCGATTCAACACCGCTGTGGTGGAATTCGATAGCGCTTGGCTACCTCACGTAGCGTCGGGGACAAAGAAGAAGATAATAGAGATAATCAACGGGAGTGGCATGTGGCTCCCGGGTGCCGCCTGCGCCGCATTTGCATGTTGGGAATGTCAGCTTTTGACGAGCTCGTGCAGTCACAAAAGCGTTCTGTCGAAAGACGGGATTTACAAACAGATCAGGCTTCGCGGATGGCCCTCACGGCGCGTTGAATTTGTGGCGGGTAAATATGTTGCTGTTCGTCCTGGCAGGCCTGCGATGGTGTTTTCTGCACAAATACTGTATTCTGCCTCGTGGTACATTCACACCTGCAGCAGAACTGCTAAGCGATTCTGCTACAGGTTAATGGCGAAGTGTTGTGCTCTTCCATAGTGTGCATGTTAAAGTGACAACAAATAAGTGCCTCTCTGTTCTACTTCTCCTTTGGTATTCAACTGGTTGTATTTTCTACTACATTTTGTTCAGAAAGCCACTCCGAGACAGGCATTATTGATGTATACTATCCAAAATAATGCTTGAGCATGAGACGAGGTAACAGAAATACTTCTATATGTGCCTGCTTTTTGTGTTTTTGCAAGACAAGGTAACAGAAATACTTCTTTATGTGCCTGCTTTTTATGTTTTTGCAATTCACCGGCTAGACCACTCTTCTCATGGTTATTGTTTTGTTGGGTGGAGCATTTTCCACCCCAGGTGTCCGATGCTTGCCGCTGATGGCTTCTACCTACGTGCATCAAACAGCGAGCCTGCACCTTCGCCGAGACAGCAGTAAAACAGTTCGGGTAACTGCAGCGACTGGGTCACCGATGCCGTTCCACTTCCTGCACTGCACTCCGCATGGGTCAAAGGGCCAGCGCATGCCTTTTATGCGTTGTCGCCAGCCATAGTGAGTATGGCTTGGAGTCACGTCATGCGAGTGAAATGCTTGTCACCTGAGTGACGTCAGTTGGGGGGGGGGGGGGGGGGGGGCGCCGCCGCCGCCGCCGCCGTTGGTGCGGCTATGATCGGTGGTCTGCGATCATAGACCACCAAGCACCATTCCACTGTTCCTGGATGAACTAGCCGCTCTTGAGGAAGAACAGGGTGCTTTGGGAAGAGCTATGGTGTCCGCTTTTTCACTAGCTCCAGCTGTCGCCACAGACATTTTGTCGAAAGGAGCAACATCTATGAATGAGTAGACGGCGCTGAATGGCCGCAAGGGGCCTCGCTTCTGACCGAGGGGGTCAAAATAGTCCCATTTTAACAGAGGTACCTCTTGGGGTATTGTACAACACAGGAAATAAAGGGCCCGAAAGGTTTCTACCTCGACAAGGTGTGGGTTATGGCAGGACCAATGCGGCTTTGTTCCGTGGACACCTTCATGTGTGGTGGCACAAGGCAGTCATTGCTTAACCTTGCTTAAAGGGGTTATGACACGGCAAAAATAAAATATTACATAACTATACTGCTAGGACCCATTGTATGTTCCTATAATCCTGCTAAATTTGTTTTGAAAAAGGCACGATAATTTCGTGGATAAATCGATTTATATGCAGGCCCCTCAGATCCGGGCGGACCTGGAGGCTGATGACGTAGCCAGCCTCCAGCGTGGTGTCTACTTGCACGCACTCACAGACTTGGCTCTCTTGCACTCTTAGAAAAAAGGGTCAGTATAGTCCTCCCTAAAGGGAGGAACGCTCTTGACACATATGTTCCTTCAGAAAGGGAGAAACTTTCGTCCCTTAAGCAGGGGAGGAAAAGTTCCTCCGTCGAGTGCATCTCATTATGGCGGCCACGAATCGAGCAAGTCTATTGCACGAAGCGAGAGGAGCAGGAAATAAAAACGTAACACGAGCTTTCCGCGAACTGTATTTATTTCCGAAGTTTCTTTACCCCTGCAGGTAAAGAAACTTACGTTTCGAAAGCATGCAGTCACTCAGTCTTCTCATCGTCAGCACTGCGATGTTCAACGGAGACAACCGGCACTCAGTTCGCGCACTTTATGTCCTACCTTTGCTATTCCTCGAGCCACAATTCCTTCGTCAACCGTAGCGTCAACCGCACATCACGGAGGAGTGAAAATCATTCGCCCGCAAAACCAAAAGCCGCTCTCAAAAAAAAGCAAATCCGAAGCAACCTCTTGGCTTATCTCAGCACGGTAACACGAAATTATGGCGTAGCCGCGTAGCGTAAAAGGATGTTAAATCGCTTGCCACCAGATGGCAGGGTCAAGCAGAGTAATCGCACGTAGCTAGGCTAGGTGGCGCTAGGTACCGCCCAATTCATGTTTTACAAAAAAATATTTTTATTTTCTTACGCTACAATTGCGTTTCCTTTTCTTCGGAATCTCTAACACATGTAGACACGTTGCGCACACTACAAACATCAGGTCAACATATATTGAACGCATACACAGGCATCGCACATACAAACATCAATACAACAGCACACTACCCCGATCACTACTAGCGAGCCCTGCGTTTCCGTCTTTTATAGTGGTCGTTTTGAACGTGCGGAATTTTTCGGTGACTCCCTAAGCAAAAAAAAATATTCTGAACATGTTCATTTTTTTCCAGCAATGTCATACATCTGAGGCTATTTTTAATGGCTCAGGGGATGAATCTCTTATTAAAAAGAAGACGCTCAATCATGCCATAATTATTTGAAAGCCAATAAATCGAGCCGCTCCAATGTGGTTCCAAGCCATGAGTTTGTTTTCCCGCATGGCCCTTCGTAGCCAGTATTTATATTGTAGTGTTCGTTTTTCTATTTGTGCTGTTCGCGCAAAGCTGCAATTGCCGTCTTGAATTAATCTCTGTAGAGCGGATATCCACTCAGCTGGAAGTGATGCTTCACGGGCACAGAAATCGCTTTTCGATCAACTTGAATGCAGTCAAAACCGCGACTTCCGACAACTGTTAAGTGTACGGAGCTGCGCCGTTGCGAGCTCGAAAACTTCTAGCGCTCATCCCAGCGCGCCACTTAGAGGGCAGTTTCTACAGAAACCGTAATATATTTAAACAGTAAAATAAAGGATAGCGTTTTTTTTTCGATTTTGCCTGTCTTTTTTTTTTATGCTAAACTTCCATTATAAATATACGTACTTTCCGTCATACTTTCGTAGTGTTGTCTTTTCCCCAGAGCGCAATCGCTCTCGGGGACCGACAGTCACATTGGCCACTGTACGATAGGAGCTTACCGTTCAGACCAGCGTTCCAACATGACTATCCACACGTCGATCGACTGCACCTAATCCCTCAAGTGGTTTTAAACTCTTTAATGTAAAGCGGAATGTCATCCTGCGACACCCCGGCCCCTCCGATAACGGCCCGACCAGCGGCATCAATGCCCGACAGTTTACGTCATCTCATCTTGTTGTTACACCACTGATACGCGAACACACGGTCACATCGGCGATAATTCCAGTCTTCTGTTCACAACCCACAACACTGCCATCACGATGTCGCTGACACTAAGAAATACAGAACCACGTTGACGGTGTTGCTGACACGCAGAAGAATCACGTTGAACGCCGGTTGGCACTCGGCACGGGACAACGGAACCGAACTCAGCACGGAAGGCACCCAGGCAGCCGGCAGGAAAACCTGCCTTCCTTGGACGCAGTTCCCGCGATTTCCATAACGTCGAAAACGTCGACACAGTTCCTCGTGGTTTCGCTGCTGTAGTTCCGCGTGTGTCCCGCAAATTGGAGACGGCCGTCTTACCCAGTGTATGTAGCACTGCTGGCACTGCTCCGGAACTTCGCTGTTTCTAGCGGCTTCGTTAGCTCATTTGATAAAATTAGTGGTAAAAACGTCAATGCAACCGAAATGTTCAGCACGTTTGGACTAGAAGACGGAATTACAGGCGGCCTTCGCTGCCGCTGAAGTTCAATCAACTCAACATTAATTTATTAAACAACGTGCGCGATGTGCTCGAAAAACGAAACCGAAAGAAGATGGGTCGGGAGGGCGAAAGCTTTCTCCGGTCTGCCTGGAGGAGGAAAACGTCTCGGAGACGTTTTCCTCCTCCAGGCAGGACTTTAATTTTCCTTTCATCGGTCTGGGTTTGTTTATGTGTGTTTTGGTAAACAAAAATAAAAAAAACTTTACAAAAAAAACAAAAAAAAAAAAAAAAAAAAAACACTTTCCTGGGGATCGAACCGTTGACCACTTGGTCAGTAGCGCGATGTTCTACCCCTGCGCCAACTGAACAAGGAGGAACTCACCCTCCTCCTTTCATCTGAACTGCCGTTCCTCCCTTCTCTGGGCAACTTGTCCGCAACAAGGAGGAACAGTCGCTTTTGCTGCCTTTCTCCTCCCTTTTTTCTTAGAGTGTGGCGTATCGAGCCTCAGCTTCCTCGTTTACCTTCCACGTTTCCAGCATCCGGTCTGTGACGATTACGTCTACGGCATCGATCGCCTTGTCGAAGTGTTCAACATTGATCGAAGCAGCGATGAGAGCGATTGCTATCAAGAGATGTTGGAGGCTGTTCATTTTGACTGCGACCCGCTGGTTACTAGCTCCAGCGACGACGAGTTCGCCGTGGTCACCGTCGTCCGGGAATGTCTCGCAGGCGCATGCAGGGTGGAAGGTCAACCGGCCGGGGGGCGAGAGCGAGAATAGCTTTCAGTTTACCGAGCTGTTTGAGCGTCGTACCGCGACGAGAAGAGCTGGGGCGATCATGGGGGTGCCTAGAATGAGAGAGTGTTCATGGTCACGTGGTTTATGGACACCATGGTGTGACTAAGTTGAGCAGTGTTGCCTGGTCGCCAGATGAACATTATAAAAATTTGTAAATTGAATATTGCAATTATCAGAGCTCTAAAAAATTGCGTAACTTGGTGTATATACTAAGTAGCCTATGAGCATTCCATTTCAAGAATAGTCTATCCGTTTAATTTTCGTGTCATAACCCCTTTAAAGATCAACGACTGGACTGGTCATGGGTGGCGTGCCTGAGAGTGGGACAGTAGACGGCTGTTATATACCATCTTTAGACTTCATTCACCCCTTAACTGACAGGGCACTGGAGGCTACATGCTCGGTGAACCAGCCGATTGTCAGTCTTACATCACTTATCATGCCCCTTTCTCATACAGATGTGCAGGTCGGACATGAGGCAATAAAAGCTTGGCCCACCAACCACATGGTTCCTACCGCCCTGTCAACGTAGAGGTGAGTTCGTGGGGTCTGCTGAGTGCTTCTGGCGTAGCATAGCAGCTCGGCAGTGGTGAGTTACTAGAGCGCAAAATGCAATACCGCACTTTACTCTGAATGCTGCGAGCCATCGGAGCCAATCCAGTGCCGAAGGTGTGTCACGTGGCCTGTCCGTTGGGCGCAACGGCACGTTGAGCACAGTGTCATCTGGCAGCGACAAAGTGTCACGGAGCTTTCTGGACAAGCGGCGATAATCAAGAATGAAACGTGCCCTACAGCTAGCTAGCTTCGAGAGTGTTGCACATCGCAGTGTCAAACGAAACGCAATATCAGTCAACAAGACCGAGTACCGCTTTACGACAAGAGTGAGCCTGCCTCGCACCCATCCAAAACAGCGTGAAACCGGCAAAAAATATTCTAACCCTAAAATTAACTTGGGCTGTTCGTACAGAAGGAGCACGCTTCAGAGAAAGAGTCGTGTGGGCATCCTTGTGTTCCGCAAGGCGTGCCTAGCCTTCAAATTTCTTGCGTTTGCTCTGATCAAGCTTTTGCGCACAGTTTTTTCCAGTGTATCGTTTAACAAAAAGTTACAGCTGTTTTGTACTGAGCAGGTTACAGGAACTAATGCCATCTGTAAATATCTCTTACAGCCGTGCTGTTTGAAGTCATCACAGATATAAACTACACGTTGCAGCAACTCTCAATCGCATTCCTGCCCGTCATGTCGAACAGCGTAGCGCTAATTTCAGTTTGAGGTCTGCACTCTTACTACAATGCAGATGGTGACAGCATCAGGCTGCACTCGGTAAGTTAGTTTGAGACCGGTTCTTTGTGCGGCACTCCGCGAGTGCGATGCACTCTATGAGATGACTCGCATAATGCCAGTGCATTTGAAACAGCTTGCTATAAGGCCCGCTACTCATGGGATAAGTTACTCATATAGTTTTGGGGCAGCTGATGAGTTATTCCCCCCTCCACAGCAACACGCATTGCTGATTTTGGGTACGACTTGAAACCGATGAGCAGCTCCGACAACTCTAAGGTGTTTGAAGCGGCAGGAGCAGTTCAGGGACACAATATTTCCACGTGACCTCCCTTGCAGTAGTGGTGATGGTGCGTTCAGTATCAACTCCCTCAGCTCCGAACGGAGTAACTTGACTTGGAGTTCTCAGTGCATTTTAGAACACCTTCAAAAAAATCCCAAAGAAAGCTGCTTTTTTTTTTTTTGTGGATGTCATGTCTGTTGGATTTTTCACTAGCCACTGTTGTTAAACTTCCAGAACTCTATGTGCCGAGAAATTGAGAGAGAGGTGGGGATGAGAGTGCAGGAATGTCAAAACGCAGAGCTCTGATTGGAGCGATTAGTGGGTAGACCTAAAGCTAACTGCCTTTGTCTGTACTGCACATGCAGAACGTCGGTGTCCAGCGTTTCGCATTCACATTCGAATGGGTTTGACGAGTGCAGTGGAGATAAAGGCAGCCTTTGTTTCTGCTGCACTCGTTGAACATGTTCGACTGCAGAACGCGGGCATCCAGTGTTTGGCTCTCGCATTGAAATGTCCTCGACGAGTGCAGTGGAGACAAAGGCACCTGGCTTTAGGTGTACCCACCAATCCTTCTAACCAGAGCTCGGGTGTCCTGACGTCCTTGCGTGCTCTCTTCCACTCTTCTCCCTCATTTTCTTGGCACATGCATCATGGGCAGATTTTAAGGATGGGGGACTAAAGCCCCCAAGGTTAACTTTTTTCAGTGAAAAATCTACATATGCCAGCTTTTGTTAGGAAGAAATAATTAGTGGCTTCCATCCATACTCGAGAACCGAACTAAACGCAATAGACTACTTCCATAAATTCCTGCATGCAACACGGCGCGCGTTGCACTCTGGGAACTAGTTAGCCAGGGAGGAGAGTGGCATGGTTTCGGTTTCGATTGACACGTCGACAAGAGATACACAGAGTGTGGACCATAAACGGCCGTTATCTCATATTTTCTGGTATCGAGAGCGTCATTTGTGGTCTCTAAACTAACCTAAATGGCCAGACCTCGATTCTTTAGCGCAAGCCCGAGAAGTATAGCTTGTCTTAACGCATGCTTGTTGTATTTTTGTACTTGAGCCTTTTTGTTAGCGGTTCGAGGTATGTGGACGAGCCAGTGCTGGGAATGTCGACGCTGCGAAGCTCAGGGATGTTGCTTGTGTACGAATCAACAAGCTGTAGCAACTAATAAGTATGCATACATCGAGCTCGCGCCTTTACATTAGTGTTGCTAATCAAGAAGTTTTTTTTTTTTTTTTTTTGTGTGTCTATAAACGAAATATAACTTTTTGCAATTACCGTTTTTCTTAATACGTCTGAGTATGCGAAGTAAAACTCTGACGTGCCATTGAAAAGCTCCATTCGAACACACTTCTCATCTCTTATCTGTACTGCCCCGCAGCACTGCACAAAGTGAAGTCCCCACCCGCTTGCCTTCCACTAATATTCAACATCACGTATGCGCATAAAGTTATCCTGCAATAATATAGGCACATTCGCACATACAAAAAAAGAAAGCAGAAGTCGAGCACTTGTGTAAACAATGTCGCACCATTCGCTGGAAGTGCACTGGACAGGCATGAATTCTGCGGTGTGTTGAACGAACGAAATTATTCAAAGCGCATTTGACGGTTGCTAATGGCCATAATATTTGTTATGTGTTTGCTTTCTTTCTGACTGAGTATGCCGAGATAATTTCAGACACACCATTCAGGCACAGATCTTGGGCGTCAGTAAAAGCTCGTCCAAAAAGGCTGAGGAGGAGTTGGGGACGCTTGTTAGGGCCTCCGTCGTAGCTAGCCGATCTTAGCGTTTGCGAAAACTTAATCTTCTATCAGCATAAAATTTGAGTGTGAGATATGTGATGACATGAGGAAGACATCACAGTAACTTTTGTGCAGTAGTGAGGTTGAATTTATTGTTTCCTTAAAAGTTAATGCGCCAATGCTGGGCTTAACTTTGATACTCCTGTGAGGATGTGGCTTGCTTTTCGCCCAATGAAGTAACAAGAAGCGTACGTTTGGCAAACAAAATACGTGTAGGGCTCAAGGTGACCAAATTTCAGTTGTAGTTCACTGGTACTGGACGGGATTACTGACAATGAGCTCAAAGATGCACTCATGGGGTGAGGTGACTAAGCCACGTCTTACTACGTTTGCATACGCACGCATAATATCCGGTGTTTCTGGAACCAAGGAAATTGCACCGGTCTTCGTTTTGTATCGCTCGAGAATGAGTGTATTTTACATTCGTAAAAAAAGTCAGATAATCGAAAACATGAGCAGCGTATTCGGTCGCGGCGTGATAGCATGAGATGAAGCTGCTCAGTAGAAACCGAAACTAAGTGGCCAACAAGTTCCCAGAGGGCATTGCGTGGTATTTCGCCGCGATGGGGCGCGTCGGTTTGGAAGAAGTCTATTGCAACGCCGCCATTTCTCCCACATCAGCAACTAAGGAAACTACACAACTACACTTAGTGGTTCCGTCGAGTCGCAGAAGAGTCAGTAGCGCTGACTCTTCTGTATAGGCTCCCTACGGGAGCCAGAATTGCGTGTTCATCCCCGTAGCGCCGTCTTTCCTGCACGGTATAAGGAGCCGGCGAATGGCAGCACGGTGCGCTCAAAAGCAGGGGAACGTATGCCAGGGTGCGTGCAATGTGTACTTTCGTGCACGGCATTTGAGTCTGCTCCTCACATGGTCGCATCTCGGTGAGTAGCGGTGCGGCGGTACGTGGAAAACAGTCATGCAACTATGGCTCCTGTAAAGAGCCTATACAGGAACTCTACGTGGCGCCATCTCGCAGGGCCATTTTGCAGTAGCTAAATAAAAACTTGCATGTTTTAATTCGTCGCAGAAGGGTGGCGCTGTTATTATATTTAGTTTGGTCTCGGTGGACACCAGCGGTCCTGGTTCCAAGAGTGAGTTTTCCAACTGAGCGTTTTCCTTGCATGTTCGGGTCAGATATTAGTTCCTGTTGACCTGATGGACTCCTTTGTTCTCTGCATTCATCATAGGTTACCGTCGTGAATCATGGACCAAGACTGCACTCTTAGGCCCACTCCTTTTTGGTGGATCGGGTCTTGCCATCTTCCCCTTTCGTGGCTTCCTGTCGTAATTAAATAAATTCTCATATTTTTTTCTGACGGTGGTGCATACCTCTTGCCACACTTGACAAAAATAGTGTGGTGAATCCATGCCACGGATTACTGTGAAACATGCGAGAAGGTAATTATTGAGAAGATTAAGCCCCGAAAAGTTCGATGGAAAGACAATAGATATACCCCGTTTAATATTTCTGACCACTTTAAGCATGCTATCTCCGGAGTATTTCAGCCTATCATTGCATCGGCTTTTGACCATTCACACGCTCACGGAAAGGCAATCGGCAAGGGCTTTCAAATCTGCGTTGTGCAGATTTGAAACATTACCAAGTGTATTTCGGCACAACTAAATGTTCAAACTTAAGGCCATTTTGTTGCCATAATTTTAAGTTTCTGCTAAGGTGAATATGTGTTCCTTACATTAATTAAAACGAAAAAAAAAAAAAAAACTGATTACATTTGTCCTCGGAGTTTTTACAGAAGACCCATCGCTATCACCATCACTATTTTGATTTTTCTAAGATGGCCGTTTTACTTCGTGAACGTTCCGTGACTTCGGCGATTTACGCGACTTACGAACACCACTGCCTAATTGGTACGTTAATTTTGGTGGCTATTTATCGTGTAATATCGTGGGTATCTTGTGTTTGTACAGAAAGTAGTATTTCAGGTTAAGATTGTTCTTTGTACAGCGTTAGCTCGGTGGGTCGTCTCCTCTGAACTGCTTGCCTTTTGTCCACGTTTCTTTCCCTCCCAAACCCATCACACTTTCTGGTTAATTTTCCTGTTTTCAATACCTGCTATTTTGCTAGCAAATATCCACAAACGTAGGTACCATGCAGCTCTACCTGCACTGTTTTTTTATGTAGCGCAATTGCAAGAACCGCTTTTGTTTTGAAATTATTTAACTTGCGGCGTTCTATAATATTGTTAGGCAGCCCAGTTATGTTCGCAAAGAACACATGGCTAAGCGGTGGCGGATAGCACTTATGTTGATGAAATGTTTTGCTTCCGCATATCTGGAAAGCATCGGGCAGCTGTCAACTATCCAGTGAAGAGCCGAAGCAAGACGGTAATGTTGGTGGTACGAAACTGAATAGTACTTTTTGTTAAATATTTATTTATTTGCTTGTCTGCTCGGCAGTGCCGCCTGTACCTGGACAATACCTTGGAAGATAATGCAAATACGAAGACAAAGCTGTACAGTGGTTATACTCTGCATCTGCACTCTGAATAACGTGATGTCTCGGTAACCACGCACGCTTTGTTACAGAGATTTGTTTCGCTACCTGCTAGGCATCACTGAGGTGCTTTAGCTGTGTGCCTTTATTTTAAGCTAATAGAATGAACTGCACCTAAAACAAGCAGTTGTGGAGGAGCGCCGTTTAGTGATTCCATTCGATTGTCGTCTGAAAGACTTAGCTAAAGGCTACCGCACGATTCAGTGAAGCTTGTTGGCCTATGCTTTGAGCAGCCGCTCTTCTTTGTTAGGCCGTAAACCAGGCAGAACGTAAAATTATTATTGTGAAAACAGCAGTGTTGTGACAAGCACCAAAACTTGTCTATAATACTCTGAACATGCTGGCCGCCCAAGCGACCGACTTGCTGACTGACCGGCTCGGCTTTGTCATTGGCAAAGGCGGAACAAGCAAATGCTAGAGCATGCAGCCAAGTTCGGTGAATTGCGTATTTCTAAAAACAAATTTGCTAAAAAGTTGTTTGTCGTTATTTTCTCTTAAAGGGCAACTCCGGCCAAAACTCAAAATGAAATAAATTACTGGTATCGCTGTAGTGACACAAAATACGACCCCACCCAAAATATTACGTCCGTGGGACACCGCATTCTCAACTAATGCCGATAATAAAAATGCGACCCGCCGCGAGCCGCTGCTCCTTAGCGGGTGGCCAGCGGGTTGCCGATCGCTAAAGCAACATTGGGCCGTGACGTCAGTATCATTTTTTTTTTTTTTTTTCTCCGGTCCAGGCGTTCTGCGGAGTGCACTTCTCTGAGCCGCTACCACCGCTACTTCGGCTTGTGATTGGCGTGTTTAGCCGTTGCTTTTATCTGTAGCCCATGTAGCTTCGGTATATCCTTTTGTTTATTTGCTTGCGAGGACTCCAAGACTCGTTTTAGCAAGCATCGGTGCGCCCAAGACTGCCCAGCTGTTCCTCGAAAGATGCCGGGTGCAACTTGTAGCGCTGTGGGATGCTCAAACAACCCGCTGCGCAGCACAGAGGTGCTTTTTCACAAGTTTCCAACGGACCGGAAATTGGAGAAGGTGTGGGTGAACGCTGTTCGGCAAGTGGACTTTGGACTTCGGCTTTTATGCGCCAGAGGAAAAAAAATAAAAAATGAAAAAACAGACGCATACAGCCCAGCACACGTGTTCGGGCGCCGCGGCCCACGCCGGAGAGCCTCAAAGCTTTGTGTCTCGGACTGACCCGCCGCGCGAAAGCGAGAGGGCCCCCAGTACTGTACGTCACTAGCAGCGCGGCATAGATTAACGCCGCTCCATCCACGGAGCCCCGATGACAATTTAGGCCTAGCGACGAGTACGGAAGACCGCACACACGGCGATAGCCGCCGAGTTTGGCACCGAACGAGTTCACTTGTTTTGCAGTCGCTAGCTTTTGGGTATACAAGCGAC